CACTCCCCCCATCATTCACTATGGTAAGATTTTTTGTTCTGATGATGCCTTACACCTGATCCCTTCGACACCTCGTGACAACAGCTATTCTTAAAGTATTCTGAGGAATGCTCATATTTTTACTTGCTTGGAAAATTGGCTTGGAATATTCTTGCAAAATCTCACCTAATTCATTAGGCATCATTTTATCTCACAGTGGAAATAAACCACAAAATTCTGACAAATCTTACTTGATAGGTTAGATTGTGGAATTTATAACAAATTACATATAACAATGGATACCCTGGAACTATTTTGTTAATGAATGAATTAATAAATTTTATCTGAAAAGCCACATCAATGTTTAAAAAAATATTTTCATGCAAACATTGGTTATGAAGTAAGTATATAATAATATTTCCCCCAATTTTTGTTGTTAGGATTTGTACACACCAGGAAAATGCTACAAATCAGGCTCCCTTTTGATCTGGTTTGTTGGATCCAACCCCACAATTGAGTGGATCAATTGTGATCCACTTAGGAGTGATGAGTACAGTTAAGGAAAACAAGATGGAAAGCCTGGACACGGGTCAGATGTCTATCAGGAGAAGAGTAGCTGAGTTTATTTAACAATGGGGTTATATAGTAATGAGATCTGCAAGCCTCAATTTATCATATACACAATAGGATGGGCAGTATCTTAATCTTGGATACCCTGAGCTTTCTAGGGGAACACCCCATGATAAGTATGGGGCATTTGAAACAAAAGGAGTAGATCGCTCCTAGGGTGGGAAGAACAAAAGAATCTGACTGCTCTTCAAGCTAGCCATTCTTTAGCTGCATAATGAGTAGCCAGGTACCTGGAGGAGACAGCTTTATATTAGTATTTTAATATACTTTTTAATGGAAGGCAATTGTGAAAGAAGTCTTTCTATCTGGAGGTCTTCCTCTGAACACTAGTGCTGGTTTTCCAAGCGCTGTATTTGTGAGAGTAGAGAATACACTTCCTTCCAGGTTCTCGTTTCCCACCCTGCTTGTTAAACATTTACTAGTAAAGCACTGTTTCCCACCACTGGTCATTCTTGGCTTTGTTCCTTGCTTGAAGTTGAGCACAATTACAGGGAGTCAGACATTTCAATTAGGACTTGAATTCTTCTACTTAGTAGCTCTGTGACCTTGAACAATTATGACCTAAGACCTATTTTTTTTCCCCTTAGTAAAATGGGGTTGATGGAACCCATGTCAGAGTTGTGAGGACAAAATGAAGTGATGCACAGACGTCACCTAACGGTGCTTAGGACATAGCAAATGCTCTATGTAGTATGTATTAGGTTACGCACCTAAAAGCCAAAATGTTGTTTCAAACTGTTCTAGAGCTTAAATTCTGAGCACTAGTTTTGTGGGAGGTAGCATTATTAGGCAACGTTGGGCTGCTAACCACAAGGTCAGTGGTTCAAACCCAACAAGGACTCCTTGGAAGGAAGATGAGGCTGTCTACTTTTGTGAAACGTTTATAGACTTAGAAACCCTACATAAGGAGTTGGAATCCACTTGATGGCAGTTAAAAAA